CCTTCTCTTCTATCACCCTTGTGACGCTTCTCTCATTCATTTGGCAGCTACTGAGCATGCTCAGTTCTCCCAGGGACGGTTTTTTCCCCCCTCTTTTTGAAAAGCTGGTCTTTAATTGCAGCTCTGAAAATTACTATTCTTTTGAAGATGGACAACAGTGCTTCAGAAAGACAGTCCAAAAACAATCACTCTTGCTATTTTTCAGTTTCCCTTGCTGTTTGCCTACTGTCTGTAGTTAACCCTGGGTTCGAGGCATTTTCTGGTGTGCTTTTTACAGAAACGCACTTATAAAGCATTTGGAGAGCTGACAGCCATTGCTGTTTCTACATATGGTCATTATTAAGATGAGAAAGGTGTTTGGTTGCAGTTAAGCTGTAAAGATAGAACAGAGTTTTCTGTTTACATTGCAGAAACAACTTTGCCTTAAACAAAGTTACTTTTACAAGTTGTAGCCAAGCACCTTGAATCTGACCACTTCTGGGTGGCCACAAACTCAACCATGTTAACAAGGCCTTCCTGTCAAATTAGTTTATGGCTTCTGATTGTTGTTGAACAGTTGTTCTCAAGGACTGGAATTCTATTAGGGACTGCAGAAGAAAAAGAAAAAGAAAGGAAGGAAGGAAGGAAGGAAGGAAAGAAAGAAAGAAAGAAAGAAAGAAAGAAAGAAAGAAAGAAAGAAAGAAAGAAGGAAAGAAAGAAAGAAGGAAAGAAAGAAAGAAAGAAAGAAAGAAAGAAAGAGAAAGAAAGACTGGAAGGAAGGAAGGAAGGAAGAAGAAAAAGAGAGGAAGGAAGAAAAAGGAAAGGAAAGGAGGGAGGGGAGGGAAAGGAAAGGAACTTTGGCATTATATTAGAGATAGCTTTATTAAAAAGGCACAGTGTGCTAATTATTTAGATGCAGTGGTAGGAAAGGAATTGTAAGAATTCTCTGCTAAGTTGAGATATTGGCAGTAAACTCCAGATATGATGTTTCTCTGACCAAGATCATCTGAAAACCTGTTCTTGATAAATGTGAGATAACAGTCTCATTTGAACTACTGAAATCTCTGTGCCCTGTTCCACATCCTTACTGTCCTAAACAGCAACCCCGTTTATTGGTTATGGTATTCCAGTCTGTGGGTCTTTCACCAGTATCACACCATAACAAGAAAGATGATTCTTCCAAGTATCTTTCCCTATTGGCTTTTTGGTCAAATGTTGTGCTAATAGAACAAACAAGTGATGTCCAAAACAGCAAAATAGCCACCTCTGGGATAGGAAAGAGGTGGACTTCCAGATTCCCTGAAATAAAACTTAACGGCTGACAGCGAAGAGGGCTTAGTGTTGTAATTCAATAGTATCTGGATATTTGGGGTGATGTAAGTCTGAGGTTTGCCAAGCCTTTTCTTCCCCAGGTTGTATTCACCTCCTCCTCCTCCTCCTCCCCACAGGATGAGGTACAGAGGTTTGAAGAACTGTTTCCATCTTGGCTCTCACAAATGATATACATTTCAAAAAGTAGAGCTCAACGTTTTGAAGAAAATATACAAGCTAATTATAACAGGCTAATTCGTTACTATGGTATACAATTCAGTCCAAACCTACGGGAAATAATATTCAATTGATACAGTATCTCCTTACTGAGATATGGCCTTGATAACCCCTCGTTATAAATTTAGGCTGACTTTCCCCCCTCCCCCCAAACTCTAGACCAAGTGCCAAATGTTTATTACAAGCACACACTGACAGATAGCTCCCTTAGACAAATAAAACAAGCAATCTGATCCAAAGTCTCATGATAGATAATCTGCAGTTATAACTTTTAACTCAAACATCTGGACAACAGCCAAGGAAGATGATCTCATGCATTTTTTTTTTTAACTGCAGTGAGTTTGCAATCTGAGAAAAGAGAAAGTGAGGCTTCTCTTTTGTCTACCAGAACAGTTGAAGGGTTGCTTGGAAGCCTATCGGGTCCTCCTTAATTAAAGGACTGGTAGTGGCTAATAAAGTTTCCTCTCTACCACTACCAGCCTTCCACTGCATTGCACACCATGGGGAAATGCTGAAGCACACAATTACCCTTTCCCATTTACAACCAGCAGTAAAAATCCCTAATGGATGTAGAACAGTGGTTCTCAACCTTTTTAATGCCGCAACCCCCAATCGGTCGTAAGTCAAGGACTACTCAACTGGTGCAGCACCGTTTGCAGAATGGGACTGTTGGCGGGCTCAGCAGGGCAGAGACAGCCTGGACAATTCCTATTGGCTTTTGAAAGCCAATAGAATTAGACTCTATTCAAGAGAGTCTATTCTATTGGCTTTCAAAAGCCAATAGAATAAAAGGGAGTAGCACAGCTAAGGAAAAGGGGGAAAAAATGGCGGACTGCGTTGTTTGGCGACCCCTGTGAAATGGTCGTTCGATCCCAAATGGGGTCCTGACCCACAGGTTGAGAACCACTGATGTAGAAACTTTAACTTAAAACAAAAAACAAAAAAACCCAGCAAAACCTGCATGATTTACTAGTGAACTCAGAGCCAATTCATACATCAAGCTTAGGAGATGCCCACTAGAGATTATACATATTCAACCACAGAAATAGAGTGTAACTCCGTAACCAGCATTCAGTTAGCATCGGTTGTGAAGATTTGTATCAAAAAAACCCTGTCACCACCCAGTGCATTCATGTTCTGGGCAGGGTGCTCAAGAAACTCCGGCAAAATCTTGGGTCAAGTGGAATTTTGAAAGCCTATTGTGGGTGTTTCCAGGAAGTGACTGGGTGGGTGGGCCCATTCAAAAATGCCCACCCTGTGGAGCATAAACAGTCCTAAAGAACCTTTTAGCAGAAGTAAAGAATGCATAGTTTTAATTGCTAACTCTCATGTTTACAATTACTTCACCTTCCTTCTGTTCTTTCTGGATAAGTGAGTAGATATAAAGGGCTGAGAATATCCTTGAGGAATAGGAGGAAGAGCTGTCTGAAATGGTATAGGGTTTCCTGCCTGAGCAGTGGGCTGGACTGGAAGACCTCTAAGGTCCCTTCCAACATTATTATTATTGTTGTTATTGTTATTAATCATCGTACAATCAGCCAGATGTTCAGATGGATTTGGCATTTTTGTCTACCTATTGAGTCCTTACCAGGGACTTGGGATAGGCAAATGTGGGTGTTTGATAGTATTACAGATATCGTCTCAGGATGGAAGCAGTTCCTAATAAAGCTGCCAGACAGAATAGACAAGAAAGAACTGGAGAAGATAACAAAATACAAAGATCTACAAATAGAAATAGAACGACTGTGGCAAAGGCAAGCAAGGGTAGTACCAATAGTAATAGGTGCCTTGGATGAATCCCAAAACAAATGGAGCATCACTTGAACACCATTATTATTACTATTACTATTATTACTATTATTATTATTGTCGTCATTGTAACAAGGCAACAGTCAGATAAGAAAGATAGGAGGAAGTTTAAAGCATGAATGTAATTGGAGAAAGCTTCTGAGATTGGATCTCCCTAGCTGGCTTTAGGAAAAAAGTAGGGAAGGGTGAGGCACATTCAGAGTGGCAAGATTCTGTTATTCTAATCCCCTAATAAAAACAGTTTTACTACAGGTAGTCCTCAACTTACAACCACAATTGAGCCCAAAATTTCTGTTGCTAAATGAGGCAGTAGTTAAGTGAGTTTTTTGCCCCGAACTTTCTTGCCACTATAATATGGTTGTTAAGTGAATCTGGCTTCCCCATTGACTTTGCTCATCAAAAGGGTGCAAAGGGTGATCACATGACCCCGGAATATTGCAACCGTCATAAATATGAGCCAGTGGCCATGGCTGAATTTTGATCACGTGACCACAGGGATGCTGCAATCATCGTAAGTGTGAAAACGGTCATAAGTCACTTTTTTCAGTGCTATTGTAACTTTGAATAATCATTAAATCAGTGGTTCTCAACCTGTGGGTCGGGACCCCATTTGGGGTCGAACGACCATTTTATGGGGATCGCCAAACAACGCAGTCCGCCATTTTTTCCCCTTTTCCTTAGCTGTGCTACTCCCTTTTATTCTATTGGCTTTTGAAAGCCAATAGAATAGACTCTCTTGAATAGAGTCTAATTCTATTGGCTTTCAAAAGCCAATAGGAATTGTCTAGGCTGTCTCTGCCCTGCTGAGCCCGCCAAAAGTCCCATTCTGCTGCACCAGTTGAATAGTCCTCGACTTATGACCAGTTGGAGGTCGCGGCATTGAAAAGGTTGAGAACCACTGCATTAAATGAATAGATGTAAGTCAAGGACTACCTGTTGTTCAGATATGATCTGCCTTGAAGGGCTGACAGTACTCTCTCAAATGAGGTCAAAACTACTATTTAATTTTTAAAAATGCCAGTGGGATCTCTGTGTAGGCTTGGAGGGGGCTTTTTGCCGGTATTGGCACCAGTAGGTCACGAGCGCGTGGGGGTGAGGCAGGGCCTGTGCATGGGGTGGAGAAGCAACACACCAGTGCTAGCATGGTCATAGACCAGTTGCTTCCCTTCCCCAGCCAGACACCTGCCAAAGCCACGCAGGGTAAGGTTGCCGCACTTATCCCCACCCAGATGCCGTTGTCTTCCCCAAGTGTTTTTTAATAACCTGCCTTTCAGCTGCATTCCGTTTCTCCGTTCGCTTCTTAGCATTCGCTGTGTGTTTGTAGGACTATCAGTTAAAAAAAAAAGTTCTATCAGACTTTCTAACTTTTCATGAGATCTCAAGAAGAGAAGTTCACAAGAAGTTGGAATTGATTGATTGACCTTTCCCCCCCCAAAAAATTCCTTTGTTTCCTTGCACACGGCGGCGGCAGATCACGAAGGAGAAACGGCATGGGGCTAGGAGTCAGGTAAAGAAAGAAAGGCAATTTCTGAGGATTTCTTTCCTTACCTGCCTCACTTCTTCCACTCAGCCGTGTTGCTCTTGCCAATGGCCCGACCGCCCACTTCAGCACCCTCCCTCCCCAAGCCTCCAGCACTCCACCTGCTACTTTGGTGGTTCCTTACCTCCACCCACCTTGTTCTGCGGCCTCATGGCAGTGGCATTGGGTGCAACGTGCGAGGTGGCAAATGGCCGCAGCCGGCGGCAAACAGCCATGTTGTGCTGAAACCGGCCGTTTGCCACCTCCTGCCCAATGCCGCTGCCATGAGGCCGTGGAACAAGCCAGGCGGCGCTAAGAAACTGGTATACCGGTTCCTTACATCAGCCCGGCTTGTTCCGCAGCCTCATGGCAGCGGCATTGGGTGTGACGTGCGAGGCGGCAAATGGCTGCGACCAGCGGCAAACAGCCACGTTGTGCCGAAACCGGCCATTTGCCACCTTGTGCATCATGCCCAATGCCGCTGCCATGAGGCCGCAGAACAAGCCGGGCGGAGGTAAGAAACTGGTATACTGGATTCCCCCTCCCCCATTGGCTTCGCCTCATCACAGAAGCTGTCCATGCAGGCCCTTAAGTAGGGCTTACTTTGGGGGGAGGGCTTATATTAGGTCCACTGGGGCTTACTTTCAGGGGCAGGTTTACTTTCGGGGAAACATGGTACTCAACTCTGGCACCAACAGCCTTGCCTAGCTGGTCCACTTCTTCTGACCAAAGGAGCAGCTTCATTCTGCAGCTGTATTCTGGCCTTTTTGCATTTTGCAGTCAGGCGTTTCTGGAAGGCCTGTACAGCCGAGTACTCAGCTATGGATTCAATCCATAGCTCGGTTCTCAGCTGCAATGGCCTTCCGGAAAGGCCTGTGACTGAGAAATGCAGGCCTGGCTGCAAAAGATGCCACAGAAGAAGTGGGCTAGCGAGGAGACACCTGGCTGCCAGGTGAGTGGGTGCGGGGCGCATGGGGCAGCTCCATCCCCACCCTAGCTTGATTCTTAGGTGTGTGTTTTGCCCCAAAACTAGGGCTTATTTTGGGGGTAGGGCTTATATTAGGCCCACCCCCCAAAATCAAGCTAGGGTTCATTTTCAGGGTAGGCCTTACTTTCGGAGAAACAGGGTAGCAATAGCAATAGTACTTAGACTTATATATTGCTTCATAGTGTTTTACAGCACTCTCAGAGCAGTTTACAGAGTCAGCATATTGCCCCCCCCCCCCCGAACAATCTGGGCCCTTTACTGACCTCGGAAGAATGGAAGGTTGACTCAACCTTGAGCCCTGTCAGGATCAAACTCCTGGCTGAGGGCAGAGTTTGCCTGCAATACTGCATTCTATATCACCAGGTCTCCTAGTTGTGCTTGTGGTATTCTGGGAATTTGAAATAAGGCATGTGAGAAGCTTGTCATATTCTGGAGGGAAGAGGGTCTACACTTCAGCTGGCCATTTGGTACAGCATTTGTTCTAATAGATGGAGTGGCCAAAGGAAATCTGGTATCTCTGGTATTTAATTCCAAGTTGCAGGGATTCAGTGTTAGATTCAGTCTCTATGTAAACAGAAGAAAACAAAAGAAGCATGCATTTTGTTGGCATGAAAATACTGACATGTACTTTCTGCCGTGGAATCACACAGATTGGGCAACCATTCTTTAGGTAAGAAAAAATAATTGAAGTAGCAAATTATAATATGCGTGGGTATATGCATAATTCTGTATTTATTTATTTTTGTCATATTTATGTAGTGTATATTGGAGGTGGTGACCCTTCGAGAGCTGTATGCAATGAAATTTCATTTTAATGTACGCTGATTAGTGTACATTCAAAGTGACATTAAAGTTATTATTCATTATTCATTTTATGGGCATACATGTCTTTACTCGTTGAAAATCAGAAGGACTCCCACTGGCTCCACTGTTTTTCAATTATTGTGGGGTCATACTCTGGGGTTGTCCTCTAGTAATATCCTCTGATTTTTTTCCCCAAAGGTTTTTTTAAAAAATTGGAAAATAAAAGAATTCTTATAAGCAGATTCTTTGAAGACCATTCCTCTTACCTAAAAAGTTGAACTCCTATGGATTTCTGTTGCAGATTGGGGAGGGGGACAGCTGTACATGCTTGAGCTAGTATTAAATGAGAGGGAAGTATTCCATGGACAGGAATCCCCTGACACTTAGAAAAATGTTGGAAAGAAAGCCTTAGGAGATCTTTTGAGAATATGGGGGTGGAGGGGGTGAGCACAGGGGATGAAGTTTATACTGGAAAATATGTACATTAGAAGCATAAAGAATGGGTTTGTGATGGCTGTGCAAGCTATTTATTGGTGATTTTCCTGAATTGTATTACTCTGTGTGTCTCTGTGTCTCTCTGTGTTTTAAAGAAACAGTTATACTTTAGAACAGCGGCTCCCAATCTTTTCCACACATCACACCCCTAGAACGCTTCTGATATATTCTCGCACCCCTTACAAAAGTTCGAAATAACGGTAATGAATTATGCATATACACTATAATTTTGCAAACACCCCCGGTTGGGAACCCCTGCTTTAGAACATTTGGTCATGGAACCAAACAGAAGCAATATGAATCTTCACTTGTTCCTAAGTGAGCCAGTTTTGGGTTGTGTATTCTTAAATCATTTAGAAATAGAGATCAAAGCGGAATCAAATATAATATAAATGGATGTGAAAGATTATCAAGGAAGTTGAAAACCTTGAATTTTGAAGGGCATTTATAAAAGTTGAAGGGATTAATAAAAAGAAAATTGAAAAGGTCAAGCTGAAATCTATCTCTCATTGTGGTACTTTTCAGTTGTACATGAAGACTGCATTTGGAAAATGCTGAAACATTTTCTAATAATATTAATAGTTCAAGATTCTGCTAATGCATCAGGCTGTAACTGCAAAGTCTAAAGCTGTTTCAACTGGATGTATTGCCATTCATTTTATGAAATCTAAATTCCTCTTGCAACCTATCAGAAGTTTTAAAAGAATGATTTAATATGAACTGATCTTAACTATGAATGCTTCCCCTTCCCCTCCCCCCCATCTCCAAAAGATTAACAGCAGTTTTCAGGCTAGGATTATCCCATAATATATAATATAAATTTCTCATGAGGTCTGAATGTAAGTCTTCTTCCTTGTATTATCCATATGTATGTTATGAGCTTCAGCACAGGGGAAAAAAAATGCCTGAATTATAACTAAAATAAGAACCAAATCCTTGCCAAGATGTTGTAGGTGAAATAATAACTTTCTAATTGTGCCCATAATGGTTTAGAGATATATCATTTCAATTCCATAAAGAAATAGAAGTCAGATTAAAAACCAGTCTTATAAATGAAAATCAAGACAGTTAACCCTTCCCATAAGCCATAATTTAAATTAGAAAATATCCCATAAGAACTTTCTCAATGTTTTACCAATCTGTTCAAAATACTTTGCAAGTGTAATATAAATCTCTATAAATCAGTCTTGGATTATGGTTCATTTTACCCATATTTATTCTTCTCCATAAACTCATATAGATTTTAACCGCTTACCTATATCAACATTAATCTGAACTGGACACTTAAAAGCATAACCCGGTACCAGCATATGAAATGTTTATGAATAATTATTCTAACACATTTAATTAATTCAAATAAACATAAGGGCTCAAATATCCATAGAGGTTTGAGGATCAATAGGAAGTAGATTCAACATTCCATTTAATACAACAATCTGATAATTTTCTAAAGTATTATAGTATATTCATATAGTTTAAGAACACTGACAATTATTACTGAGAACATAATCAACATATAATTATTTATGTTCCACTCCAGATGCCCTTAGATTGCCAATAAACTAATGGTTCCAATCAAATGAAATAATAAAGGGAAAATAGACATCCCTGTACTTTCTTTGGATTGAAGAAAAATTCCATTTATGATAATTTAGCTAATGGATTTGAGTATCATATTTTAATCCAATCAACAAAACTGAAAGGAAAGCCATATTTCATTAAAATATGATCCAAAAATGTTTAACTGCTCCATATCAAAGGTTTGCTCTGCAGCCAGTGAAACAACCACAGCTGAATCTAATTTTTCTGATTGTGTTATCTGATGCTTGACACCCTTTTATAAAACCATTATTGCAGAGGTTGAATTAGCCAAGGTAATATAATTTGAAGTCTTTGAACCAAAAGCCATATCAGAACATTAGCCTCTGAGTAACTTGGAACAAAGAGTTGGAATATCCTGTTTAACCAACAATGGATTAGAATTTTTAAAAATGTTAAATAAATATCCCATGATTTTAAGATGCAGTTATATTAACAAAAGATTCTTGCTTGTGTTTATTGGACACATCAAAGGATGCATGGTAAAGTTTGAGTTTCAGCCTTTTTATGCTGGAAGTGGAATACTTTGGAAAAAAAAACACTGATTCATATATTTTGAGCTTGCTTTACAGTGGCATCTTTCGGGTTTAACATTGATAAGATTGTTAAGAGGATGTCAGAAAAAGAAATAAGTGTTAAAGGTGTGAATGTGAGATTTAAATTATATTCTAAAAAAATTAGAAGCTACTGAAGTATGAAGAACTTTGAATGTCTTGTGTGTGAGCAAATTGTTTTACATTGGTGAAAAGACTTTGTTACACCTGATTTAAAACCCTCGATGAAATACAATGTTCACTTACTACGTATGAATTGGCTTTCTGTTGATATGGGAAGTCCAGCTGATATTACTTCAGGTAGTCAAGATTTCATTTGTTGTTTAAGACCAGATCTCCTTGTTTTTATATATATATATATATATATATATATATATATATATATATATATATATATATATATATATATATATATATGCGTTTAAGAAAATTAAAAACGTGAACCCTGGGAGTGTTCATGATAGGAAATAAAATGATCACCAGGGTAATAAAACTATAAAATTTATTAAAAAGCGCCTAGCTTTCGCCGTCACCTGCCGGCATCCTCAGGGCTAGTGCGCCAGGGAGTGGGAGGGTCATTCTTATAGGTGTGGTGAGGTCTGCGCACGACTCCTCGACCTCGTCATCGGGCCTAAATAGGATAACTGCGTGCGGCTGGTCTGTTCCTTTCTATTCATCTCAACCGCCCGTTCATCCTCCTCCATCCTTCTCTCCCTCAATCTTGAGGTGGGCGGGCAAATGTCTCTATGGTTGCAACAGTCTCTATGTTTGAGCTCTTTTCCCTCGGGGGTAGATG